ACAACCACGACGCGTTTCGATGCCATTTCATCTCATCAGGTGGAGATAGCAAACTTCGAACCCGCGACCATTGGAATAGTCGCCGAAGCCTCTACCCCTTTGGCTACCGGGTCACGGCGGGCAACGTTTGGCACAACGGTGAATGACTAATTCCAGCGTCAAGTTTGGACTACACGTCGTGTGTTTGGATTGCGACGAGCGATCCCAATGTAGACCGGCTTATGCTTACTGAGGCTGTTGCCAATAGGCGTCCAGTGGGTGATGCGGGAAGATAGCCGCATATGTTAGAGCTGTAGTGTCATTGAGGTTCCTGTAAATTAAGCTGGCAATTATTAAAGAAAGGCTAGTAATGAGGTTGGTGAAGGGTGGCAAAGAATTACGTGGAAAATAAAATGGGAGACGCCAGCCGTGGCATGTATTCGCTTATCTGCCATGCTGTATGCAGTAGATATAGCAACCCTTGATAAGCTGCGTGGAGGCCAATGCAAGATATACTTGCAGTTTCAGGAAAAAATCATGGTTTACGTGGACTGGAGTACTGTCAGGTGGACGATCAGTGTCCTCAATCAAAGTCTTTGGCACAAAAGTCTGTCCGCGAGTTAGCGGGGAGGTGACAATGATTTAGTTTTACAAGAAGATGTAACATCCCACTTCCAGCCCTCAACCTGGAGGTCAGCGCGACTGAGCTTGACTGCTTTCTAGCCATTAAACAACAGGGAACGCGGAGACACTACCAAGTATTTCTTAATGGGTCGAATAGATACGCAAGCCGTTTCGTTGCGACGAACCATTCTAGTCCCCTTGGATCCGCTTCCTCGCGCAGAAGTCGAGCGGGAGATCAGAATGTTGAAATTTCAATAAACTACAGCACCGTATGAACTTCCTCCAGCCATCTGAAATTCGGAGGACTTGCTCTTTTAAGGATTATGCATACGGTTTACAAGGGAAAATGTGGGAGATGAAGAAACCGTCCCAACAGACTTGGCTCGTGCCGTTAAAGATAAACTACAAATAAGGCTCAATTTAATAAAGCGGTAATCATAGCTGCAGCAGTCTGATCTTCATTGCCACCTAAGTAATTGCCCCTGTGGTTTTCAATAGACTATCCTGCATCCGTGAAAGCCAGCTTCTCGAGAAAAAGCTAGGTTTCATCGAAATCGAGGCTGGGTTAATCACATCTTCACTTTAGATTAGTTGGACCACCGCCACACTTTTTGACTACTCACAGTGATCGTGCTCCACGACATCAGAGGTACCTTCGGCTCGGAGAACAGATGTGCTCTCTGGGACTGGAAACGTATGTGGAATTGAGAACATGTCTGCTGGAAATCACTGGTGGAACATCTGCATTCGACGCCAGCGGCAGCCGTAAACTTTTCGTCCGCTTGGCAATTTTAAATGCGCAAAACCCTCAGAACTGCAAATAGTCTTGCAGTGTTTCGTTTCATAGAATCATAATCATAGATCCAAATTTTAGAGAAGACAAGCATTTGTATTCTTATAGCACTCGGGTAGAAAAGTTACACAAACTGTTTTTCTTTACTGAGGAAACTTATTGATAACACTATCAAATAGTATTCTATCGGCAAATTCCCACGCCTTGGAAAGAACTGCTAAGTCCGGGAGCCTTGGATGGCGCATTACTGTTTGAAGGTATCTCTTTATACGCTTGATTTTAGAGAAAGAGCAATCAAAATGGGTACTGCTAACAGCTCGGTTAAGAAAGCAGCGCATCGATATCACATTATTCGGGGCAAATTTCCTAAAACTGAATTTGTTATGAAGCTTAAACTTTCAAAGGATCCATTAATTTTGTCATCTGAAGGTTTCACAAAATACTGCCATCTCCCTTCGGCACAAATTCTTTTTCTTCTAAGTCTTCTACAACTTCACCAAGTGGGCAACCATTTTATCATCATGCAAATTAGACACTCTTACTAAACTATCTTTGCTTGCAAGGTTATGAATTTTTTGAAATCTACGACATATTTCATCAGACAACTTGTTTATAACAGAGAGCATTGCTGGTTCCAATTCAGTATCATATTCCATCGATATATCAAACAAATCTCCAATATCCATTTGCTTTTTCGTGGATTCAGTGCTCCATTCTTATCCCCAATGTAGAGCAGCGAACGAAGACAAGATTCAGCAAATGAAGCCAGATAGGAGCATGTACTGAGTCTGAATCATTTGCAAAATGGGCGCTATACGATGCCTTTTGAGCAAAAAAGCACTACGTTCATTGGTAACTACAGTATTGGCCAATGTGTTACGTGACAAATATGTGCAAATTCGAGAAAGAACTGACTACAAGCAGATTTGTTGAATGTCCTGTATGTGCTTTTGTTCACCTAGAGCCATATGAAAACCTTCAGCTATCAGCCTAGCGTTCATACTTGGTATTGAACAATCGTGCGCAATATAATTGCCGTTCCCTGTCACAAGCCGCTCGGGGTGGACAGCTCCGCCCCACTTGCCACGCCTCTGCCCAGTTTAACGTCATCGAAGTGGCTTAAATGCGTGTTTTCGGCAGAGTTAGTGCTTATGCACAACTGTTGCGGTCATTCAATATCTCCAGCCGTATGAGACATATGTTTGCTGTCACCATTCCTTTTTAACATAGTTAGCAACGAATGCGTGGAAAATGCATTCATTAGAGACTATTTAGAAGGTGTGGAGCAGCTCGCAGGTAATCGACTGGAGTTGGAGTATTTATCTGAAATTGTACTAATCTGTGACTGCTCACAAACTTGCGAATCAGCAGTGGACAGATTAACAATGGATGTCAATTGTTGCGGGATATGATTTTCACCAGTCAAGTGCAAAGCTTTCCTCCAAGCTTGTCAAGGACTGTCTCTTACGCTGACCCTTGATGAGGATCCACTAAAATCATTCAGAAATTTCTACTTTCTCAGTAGCTATAACAGAATATGCGGAATAGAAGACAAGTGACACACCACATAGCACCAATTCTGGATCCTCCTGTTCAACTTCGCTATGTATAAAGTTGGCGCGATGTCACACTGGCCCTGAAGCGTAAGGTCAACAACGTTGCGATCCATTTAGGCTTAATATACGGTTGTGGAACCTGGCCCGTCAGATCGACAGGTGTTTTGATTGTAAAAGTGTTCAGCCACGAGTGCCTTCGAAGTCTAGCTCACACGTGGTTGGAACACCGAGTGAGCGAGCAGCGCCTTCGCTGTCTTGTTTGGGGCGCGGGAATATTAGACGAACAGTGCATTAGTGTTATTTTAAGCATCATGCTTCGATGACTTGGCCACGTGTTGCGCATACCAACACACCGACTTCCGAAGTGTTCTATGCGCGACCGGGATATGCGGGAAGAGGAGATGAGGGAGGCTGTCCAATGATGGGCAAGAGGAATGAGGGCTCGTACTTCGAAAAGGATTTTGAACATTGCTTCCTGATTCCCTGTTTGGGGTACGAAAGACTGAACATACTTGGATGAGACAGTTTGAGATGGAGATTTGCCGAATTCAGGAGCGTTTGTGTTGTGTCCCTCCCTCTTCTTTAAAGCAAGATTTCATTGCCATTGTATAAAAAAGCAAGTACATTATTTGTCTTATTTTCATATTTTTCCTTTTGCTATTCACGCCTGCTTTTCTCTACATCTACCTGATTGCGCCACTTTCGCGTATGCCTTGAGTAGCCTGCGAAGCGTAACCGTCTTTGCCAGTTGCAGCTTCACCCCGACTGCTTCCCAAAGATACTCGTAGACATCCAAGCATCTCCGTGCATCCCCACCCTCAAATAGCTCCAGCCACGTGATCCTCACATTTTGCCCCCGGATCATCACGGCAACAAATATGAGAAAGGCGACGGTGCAAGAGAACTAGGTGTCGAAGAACAACGTATACCTGGTATAATATTTCTAACATCGAACATTCTGACTCATTTGCGCACATCATTCGTCGTGCCATTTGATTTCACGCTGCGACTTGTGCTATCGACTCAGTTTGCCGTGACGACATGGTATAATTTCAACGCTCCAGCGCCATCCATTTTCAGGTTGTTGAATTGTGCACTACACGCCCTTCGTCCATGGTGATCCAGTATTCACTGAGTTCATCGCGCTGGCTCGTTTTATTATACTACTCATTAGTGGTGCACCCCAATTGTTTTCCAATACAATAACTAAGGTGTTTCTCACCTCCAGACTGACATCGAACCAATCACAATATACTGTCATATGACAGCATGGTCCCTTCGTGTTTCACTGACCTAGGGCTATTCTTTGTTAGTCTGCCATTCTGCTTGCACCATCAAGCAAACGGAATTTCTGAATCGGCATTATCCTTTTCTTATTGTTTTTAATATTCAGCTGATTTTGAAACTAAGATGATTTCACTCTCTCTGTTGAATTTAACAGCGAAAGTAAAACCTGTCAAAGTCACAGTTTTAATTTCACTTCAAAAGTTAACCCTTTGTGTCCTAGCGGTAGTTATAAGTACCCCTCGGTTTAAATTGTAATACAGCTTCATAGCAAGCGTCAATGCTGCCGGTGCTTGCGAAGATAGCCTTCTGTCAACAATTAACTAAGGACCAGAAATCCCATACTTTGCTCTACAGTGTGTGGAGTGAACTTTTGTGCTTCATGTCGAGCTATAGGTAAATTAACTCGAGACTCAAAGGTTTGGGCGAACACTATCGACGTGAAGCTGCAATAAGAGACATACGACGGCCGTTCAAGTGATTTCCTGTTATTCTTCTCAAACTTAACCACTAAGAAAATGCTCCATTGGAGAAATTCAAGTGTTGCTCATGAACGTCTACGTATTTTTTTAAAGCGTACCCGTAATTAAGCTCAACTTTAGCATTATAATGAACTGGCCACCTGGGAATGAACGTATATTAATCGCTTGGCTAATCACTATACTCGCGTTTATCGTCTCAATTCCTCTCAGCACTCGCTGGTTACCGAACAGGGGCTTCATAAGCTTCAACACCATGCACGAACTCAGTATACTGCGCCTGTTATGCTGGTTAACGCTCTATTTCTATTGGCTTCTACACAGGTTAATCAGGATGCGGAATTCTTGCAGCAGTTCACTAGCAACAGTTCAACACTCCGATGGGTCCAACGGGCTTATATTGCAGGCGGATGGCTCGATCTCAGTCAACAAACGCAACTGAATCTGGACCCCATTCAGCTAATTTCAACCTGGTCTTCACTGAAAGGAAGTGAGTTGGCATTCAAGGCCTATCTCAAGGTGAACACTCGTGCTAAGAAGTTTCGCAAAAGTTATTGTTAAAGTTATGGTTAGGGTTTGAAGTCTTGTGTATGGAGGTTCTCAATTGGTGCACCCTTTATCTCTCGAAAGATCTTTCCTTGTCTGTAAAGGTAGCAGCACCAGGTTTATGTCGAATCAAAGCAAAATAAGACTTCTGCACGAGTAGATGTATTTCGGTATTTTACACCTTCATTGTGGTTGGGTCAATTTATGGAATGAATATACAAAAACGAAAAACATTTCTGATAGAAAGTGTTTACGCAAACAGTTAAGCATAATGCGGACGATTTTCAGCATGGCATCAATTAAGCGTACCAAGTACGACAAAAGGTAATAATAATAAGTTGCATTGCAAAAAAACATGACACTTTTTTGTAGCGTGTAGAAGTGCAAATGGCCTTTCGATGAACCACAACGTAATGGGAAAGCGGTGTAGTCTAAAAGAATATAGGAAAAACTGGTAGAAACGTCTAAACGCATGCGAAAAAATCAACAAGGATCTATAGACAAGGATCTTTAGACAGTCTACAAGGTTTAAAACTAGGTGTTATGGACGTAACAATTAATGTGTGTTCTTTACTTAAGTAGCCCAGTGAAATCGCAGGAGCGTGGTAAAGCCAGTGCAACAGAACGTATGAAGGCACAACTCTAAACTTCAAATCAACTGGGTTTGTAAGTCATTTTAGCCTGAGGGTGCAGAATTATAGTCGACTAAGCTTTTAAATCATTTCAAAGATGCTTGTAGGCGAAGATAAGTTTTGCGATGAAAGGACTGTCGGATATTCCACAGTGTGCAAAGCACACTGTGAGAAGACCAACATTGATAGATGCACGCATTTCGTATGGTCCCATCAGTACCAATACAATAAAAAGGAATAATTTTATACTGTTCAGTGGATGTTACCAAACCAGTCAGAGGCAGAGAGGATAGCGGCTGCGATGGTCCTATCACTAGGTCAACCGAAAATCAACTACTGATTATTTGTGCACAGGGCAGGTCTTAGTTGGCTTATCACCACGGCCTCAACGAACCGCAAGCTACATTGATTAGGATGACGTAATAATATATGAGATGAAGAGCTGAGATCAATCCGATGAAGGGTCAGCAAAATATTCTTGCTTATTGATGACGCTGGCAGCCTGCGTGCACACGGTATAGTAAACAAGGTTTGGCTGACATCCCGTTGATTGATCTTACGCTGAATCCAGTTTAGCAGATGCCTCTTCACACTGGAATTAAAAATTCACTCAAATTGGTAAACACCGTGTGATTTGGTGCCGATAGGTTCCTCTGCCTTTACTGAAGGTAGCGACAATTTATGGGTTCTGTTGACCACAACAGTGGCCGATCTGGGTATCAATTGGTTACTCAAAGCTGTAGCGAAGTGACATTCGAAAGAGCCCTGAGTTAGCTAGCAGGAAGAGAAGAGAATGTTACACTGCAACATTTAGACGTGTTCAGAGCGAGGGACTGAGACGACGACTACAGTGAAGCTCACCAAGACCAAAGAGTTGGAGCTGACTCAATCGTAGGACCAGTATATACCAAACAGACTTCAGCATATTTACTTATGACGAATCGGGGTGATACGGGAAGTTTTCGACGCATTAAGAAAATGGAGGAGAGAGAATCGGGCTCTGTAAAATACCTCGATCAAAGGAAATCGTAGAGGACGTTGCTCCGTTAAACTACGGGAGGTGGGTGCGTTTTTAACGTGGTCTTTACTCAAGCCGTAAACAGGTATTTGAACATCATTCATAATTTGCTTGTTGAGTAGCTTCGATCTTCCGCTGCTCCCGAAATCTTGTGAATGGACCATAACTAGAAGCCGTGCTGTTTCACTTTTTTCAGCAGTACAAATTCTACAGAACTTGTGGTACGACAAGGTATTTAGTGTGGAGTGGTGAGGTCCATAAGCGAACTAGTAAACGTTAGGTGCATGGTTGCCTGTGAAACTCAGACCAACAGGTAGATTCACGAAAATATTCAACATCGTCGAGTTGCATGATCCTTCTTGGGCTCGGGAGTTATCTTTACAGATCATCAAATAACGGATATTCAAAAGAACACGAGATCATAGGTGAACAATTGTTTTCGATGATTTTCTTCAGACCATTACAATCATATTTGAGGGTAAAATAATGAACTGAAATCGACTCATTGGGTCAAGTTACATAGTTAATTAACGGATCAATGAGGGAGGCTAAAAGTTGACTACTGATCTGACAGGTCGATTGCATGTTATCGAGCTTGATCTGTGGCAATCGACCTCAGTATCGTTTCGTTCTAGCTGGCCACGGAAACTGTAAGGCATGGAGCAAGTTCTTTTGCGAGCATAATGAAGGTTGAAACAACCGAATGCAAATCGATTCAGCTGTCGCGAGCGCACGGAGGCGCAAACCTCTTGATTGATGCTGGGGGACCCAGGGATAGTGCCAACCATTTTATAGCAGCTGAAAACAGCCGTTAAAATTTTCGCGACGTCATCTGCGCACACTTTTAATGCAAGTGGTGACAAGGCATCGGATTAGTAGCTCTACTTGTCTTCAATTTTTTAAGGTCTCGGTAACAATTATTAGGACTGGGTTCCATTGCAGTAAGTGTGCTGTTGAAACAGGCCTGGGAATATTGCATCTGTGCGGAAAATGAAACTCAGTATTGAGTATGCCTACATCCACACTGTTGAATCTTCCTTTCCGGTTCTGCTACGCTACCAGTTATTCGGTTGGAAATATTTAGAAATTGTGGTCATTTATGTCTGTTCATTCAACCGAGAAGGCCACGTGAAAGGGTATTAAATCTAGGTCATCTAATCACTAAAATTTATTTATCCTTAACTCAGAACAACATATCTCTTTCCTTACTCCTTCGCATTACAAAGTAGATAATCAATAGGGCTTCTGCTTCCACCTATTGGATCGCTGCAATTTCTGACGCGACAAAAACTAATGCAATTTAATTCTTAGGAAACAAGGTTAAGACCTAAAAGCAGCCAATATGTCCATGTAAATACTGGTTACTGCAGTGAATTTTATTAAAATAGCGAGGAAGCAGTTCTCTTATATTATCTTACAGGATGTGCTGCTTGGCAGCACAGTTTCACTAACGCTATAAGATCGGATTAGACTTTGGCCATTGTAGTAATAAAATACAGTCCAAACTGTCTATGGCGACCACCTGCCTATGGTGACCACCTGCCCATGGCGACTAGTCAAAGATATCCCCAACGACTTTCCTATATTTTCTCACTGATCTTAACCTGTCTATGGCGTCCACCAGTTGAACGCACCCGCGAACACGCTTTTGTGGAACCCAGGCGTTCTGTCAACTGCTCAAGGAGACTGGCTGAGATTGCGAGTAGAAGTGTCATGAAAATCTGTCGCCTTATCATATAGATAGCTTAGATTTCGTTTCAAAGTTTCATAATTGCCCCGGAAACCACACCACATGCCCTGCACTGATTACTTATCGCCCAAGTTCTGTGTCTCTTTATTCGATTCCCATAGGCTTGTGAATACCCCCGCTGTTGCAATTGACCAGTTAAAGTTGCGTAACTCCCACAGTACCGCTGGTTTATTCTCACCCCAGGGGTAACGCTGCCTTCACATCAGACTTCTCCGGTGACAAATTACCCCCTCCGTGGATATCACCCTAGGTAACTAACGCATGTATCCCGCTATGGGCTGTGCAGTGAACCAATCGGATGGAGCCATCTTACCCAATAAAAGAGCTGTGAGATTCCACTCGCGTACTTCGGGTTTTGTGATATTGTTGTACAGTCGCAAGCATCTTGATTATCACTTATGTGTCTACTTGCCCACTGTGTAAGCAGTCAGTTGTCAGCAATGATCGGGTAGTTTTGAGGTACATTCTTACTGAATATTCATGATATTTTTCATAGTTCATTTTGAAGAATTTTAAGAAGGACAAAGTGGCTAGTTTCAGATCGGCAAAGCCAAAGACATGAACACTTGAAGAAAGATTATCAGTGATTCGACAAAGTCAAGAAGGAAAATTGTCGGGTTAGGAAAAACACAAATCCTTCTAACTTTAAAGAAGAAGCCGAATTTTTGACTGACTGTGAGAACAACGCACCAAGACTGAAAAGAAGGAATGGTAGAATACGGGTAATGAAGACATAAACGCAGTTTGCTGGAAATGGTGCCAGTCAGCACTGGTGACGAAAATCCCATTATCTAGACACAAGGTTAAAGAACGAGCATTGTACTTCGCAAAGGAATTGCAAAACTCAGACTTTAAAGCGTCGAATGGTTGGTTGCAGGCTTTCATCATTAGACCCAACCTTGTGCTCTGTAATCAGTCGGGTGAAAGCCGTGACTCAACTATGGATGTTGCGTCCGACTGGACTGCAATATTATCCGAAATATGCTTTGGCTACATATATCAAGACATTTGTAATTTATATGGAACTGGTTTGTTATTCGAAGAGACTTCAGATAAAAGCTTTTTTGTTAAAGGAGAGAAATGCGCAGGCGCGAAAAAAGCAAGGAGTGTTGCACAGTTTTCCTGTGCACTAACCTGTTGCGGGAGCCAGAACCGGCTTTTGTGACTGGGAACACAGCCAGCCCTTGAAATTTTAGTAACATCAACACGACAAAGTTACCGGTTATTTTCAAGAATAATAATAAGGCACGAATGACTGCAGCTATTTTTGAACATTGGCTTCAAAATTGTGACAGATAAATGCAGAAAAAAGCGGAACATCATACTGTTTGTTGAGAACACCACTTGCCATTCTAAATTCCAGCTACTTAATGTCAAATTGCAGTTCCTGCCACCCAACACCACTACACTTCTTCAATCCCTTCACCAGGGTGTCATTCAGGGGTTTAAATTGGCTTAGAAGAAAACAGCATCCGCATCGTATTACAGTCATGGAATCCCACAAAAATACGTCCGGAACTGAACTCACGAAAGGAGTAAATTTATTGGACGTCGTGTTGTGTATAGCTGTCCCATGGAAGAAGGGGAAGAACTCAAGAATCTTTGTGTTTTTCAAGGCGGGTTTCCTTGTCCTGCAGAAATAGAGAGAGTAATTCGAATCGGACCTGGGACATATGGGCAAACTGTTCCACCTTCAATCGCTATTGCTTTGGATACTCTTTCAAAGGAATTGCTTGGATGCCAACTGTTTAACAGCCATATGGTCGATTCTTATCTGCAAAACTATAACCACATAAATAAACTACGACCTGCCTGCCACATCAATTTTTGCGGCTGTGGATGTGAATAGTGATTCAGAAGATAAGCAGGAACAGGATTCTACAGACGTTCTGAAAAGGTATACATGCACGGACGCACCGGGCGGTTGGATATTTTGCGCTCTTACACCATATATAGCAGGCACACTAACAAGCTTGAACTTATCATGAACGTGCGGGAAAAACTGAGTTCATCTTTCATTTCAACTGCTAAGCAACGTACCACTATACTTGATTTTTTTCATCAGGTGGAAGATGATAACGACAAGAAAAATCTGTGTACACCATTTTTGCAAAGCTTGTGGATTTCACTGAATAGCAGGTCAGTGCTTAAAATGTTGACACGTAAACGGTAGCTTTATTACATTCTTATTACACTACTAGCAGCTAAGGCTGATTGTAGTAGCCGTCAATTTACAGGTCTAGTTCGCGATTTGAAAGTTTATCACACGGGTGGACTCGATCGTGAATCTGTCCATGGCGACTGCCTGTCCAAGACGACCATTTTGTGTCAGTCCGTTGAGCGATCGCCTTGGACATGTTTAACTGTAGTGATCTTTGTGGGTTTTGGTTCATGTACATATTTTCCACTTTGTGTTTTTAAGTCTCTCTTCACGACTTCTTCCTTGTCAACAACCATCATTAGGTGCCAGGTTGATTACAACAACCCCATACTTTGGGGGGTTTCATTTGGAGCTTCAACACAATTCATGCACGAATATCAACCAACGCGACCTGATACTTCGTATTCACCAAAACGCAGACAATGTGCTTCACGCAAATCTGCACTGGAGACCGGGACTTTTGAAGGCACTATTCGTGAGTGTATGGATTCTTTGCTGTTTTCGGTATACCAGTTCTAATTTCACAACTATTTGACACCTACAAGGAACGGTAAGTTATGATAATATAACTGAGGTTGTGAATTGTATCCGTTGCTTTAGAACATGTGATCGCAATAATGTGAAGACAGTACCATACTAAAGCTTTATGAAAACAGCCTTACTGAACAGGTTCGGAAACGCGTTTCGAAACTGCAGCTTACATGGGATAGGAGAAAATTCAAATTTAAAATTAACCTTCGACATATGCAGCGTATCCTATAGTTCCAAAAGCTTGCTACGTCTGCCAACCGGTAGATGTGATATGAAGTGTGTACCAAAGGTTTCATTGACGCCAGGTAACTTTCACCAATACCTTATTGTACATATTAGAGGCCCTAATCTGTAAAGAATCATACTACATTTAGTCTCTTCAATCACAACAATCAAGCGGCTCAGTCCATGATCCCTGCATAGTTGAGTGCAGTTAAGCTGAAAATCGTACTACGAGTGGCTACATTGGGATGAAAAATGCAAAATGCTAGAGACGTTTTAGCTCGAGAATCAATAT